TCCACCTCGGGGTTAGCTGGCCATATGTGTTCAATTCCTAAAGTTTACGGCTCAAACCTAATGTGAGAACCCGCAAGCAAAAAAAAAAAAAAACATTGAAACTAGACAAGAGGATCACACGAAAAAGCTTTTGAAACATTTTTAATATAAACATAAATTAAATAACTTTTAAACTTGTTATTTTATTCTAATATGACTTATAGAATATGACCGTAATTATACTGCGAAATGGTAAAACTGTATTTTGGAAGAAAAAAAACGAATGCATAATGAAGACAAAATTATTAAGCAAAGAACTCGGTTTCCCCAAAACAAAGATATATAACTGTGAAATTGCAGAGTTTCATGATTGTTTCATCATTCAAAATAATAGAATTAAAAGAAACCAACAGAATAATTGAATTTAAATCATCATTTTAACTCTGTGACTGATACAAATTGTAGAATCACATAGCCATTTTGCTATTTTACATATTACATACTAATCACAAAAATTACCTGAAACGCCGAGGCAGCTGTTCCAAAGATGAAATCATCAGGAAAACTATGCCGATCTAGTTTTAGAGAATTGATCATATTTGCTAACAATGAGATGATCGAAAGGATAATGAAGAACCACGATCCCCTAGCCATTTTTTCTCTCTCTTTTTTTTTTGTCTCGCTTTGTTTTTTTTGCTTGGTGTTTTGGGATTTCAAAGTGATGATGAGATTTATTACTCAGAGCTTCTCTTCCTTATATAGAGGATTATCCTCGGTAATATACGTCATCTACGGGGAAATGTTTGGACATATATATCATATGTATTAATGTATAGATAGAGAGATAACTTATAGTATTTTCTACTTAATAACATAATATTTCTTTCCAAGTTAAGACTATTATACATAGAGGTCTCGATATTCCATTTTGGGTTCTTAGTTTTTTACTATTTCTGGCACAATCAAATTTAAGGCCAGGAGCTTTTTTTGTCCATAGTCAGTTTTGAATGTGCCCTTGATCACTGCTAACATTCACCATCGTCTTTTCTGAATATTCCCATGATTACTGCTCAGATTCACTTACATGTACGTATATACGTATATTTGAGTGTAAATTAATGTTGGTGTTGAATGTTGAACGTGGTCAACATTATGGCTACGTTCACTGTTAAAGCGTTAACATAACGAAGAATGCATGTATTTCGTGGTACGGTTACGATTTCACATGAGTAACGTAAATATTTAATTAGACCGACTTTAGATATTTATAGTTTTCGTTTATGTGTAATATTTTCTGTCATTAGTGTTCCAGTTTTTAATAGATGTATGAAAGAATTATATTGGACTGTTGTTGTTTCATGTGTGTAATATATATTAAAAATTATTGATTAGTAATTTTGTAGAACCTAAATTCTTGCCTACTTTTTTTTTCTTTTATAACTGCAAGTCTGCAAATATGTTATGGGAAAATAGTACGTGTCATCTTTATCCTAAAATCATGGTCATTTGTAATTTGTTCTCTATACATATCATTTTAATTTTACTGGGTATCTCATATATATATATAGAAACAAGCTTTCATAATATTTTGGGCAATGAAATTTTGATAAGATTTTAATTGCTTCGAAACAATCTTTTGGACATTTGACTACAGATGCACTGAATTTGAAAATCGAATTGGTAAGAATGATATTAAAACAGCAATACATAATTCCTTTTTACTTAGTGAAGATTTTGTATGGGAAATAATCAGAGAAGAGAAAACATACATCTTCAATTAAAAAAAAAACAGATATGAGCAATTGTCCTTATCACATTCCACTAAGAAGAAAAAGAGATGAGAACAATCAACTGGCAGTGACATGTTTTCCTATTAAGAAATGATATATTTGTAAAGGAGCAACTAAATTTCCAACACAAGGAGATGGGCTTATATCTTCTTCTTCTTCTTTTTGTCTTGTCCCTCCTTTTTCGGATAGTTTTCCTTATTATTTATTCCAAAAATTAACGTATAAATTTTTATATTTCTGATTTAATAAAACAAATGAGAAATTAGGTAAAATGTGTATGTTTTATATAAAAAAATTTATTATCTACCATCATATTCAAGAGCGAATGTGATATTAAAAAAAAAAAAATTTCCTGACGAATGCAAGAAATGTCTTTTATATGAAAAATCATAATAATTTTAGAAAAAAGTATTAAACTAGTTTGGATTGATTTTGTTGCTTTTCACTAATCGTTGAATTAGTTGCCCTATGAAAATACAATTCAGGTTTAAGAAACAAATTTTATGACACGTCCAGTTGTCAAAAACGAGATGAGAACAACTACTAAAAATTGACCTATGCATTGTCTTACTTTTTTTCTCTCTTTTGTCAACACGGATGTTTTACCTCTAATATATCATTATATTGCATGTATAGGAACACAAGCAAGTAAATCAATCAAACTGATTAGACGCACAAAAGTCAAAACAATCAAACTAATTTTACACATTGATTAAAGATTTGAAATATATTATTTAACACAAATTCTTGCGTATAATTATAAATTTATGTTTTTAGCTGATTCATGTTTACGGTACAAAATTAATGTATCGGACTATCTGCTATTAAATTCAAATCCAAATTATAACATAATGGCAACAGATACCACTAGTAAAAGTAAAAACAACTTGATTATAAATCTGGATTATTTTAGGACGGTCAGTCATCGCAATATAACGAGTAGCGGACCTGCAATAAAGCTGCTGATCATTTAGCCAAAGAGAGACTATCCCAGGGGACTCTCCTTTTGTAAATCATTTCTTTGTTCCAAGATTCCTTGTACAAATCCTCTATGAAGATCACATTTATATCAAGCTAATAAAAGAAGCTGTGGTAAAAAAAAAAAACGAGTAACGGACCTTAGATTTTCCAGTGTGGCCCAAGCCCAAAATTCCCAATAGTTCGTTTTTTTTTTTGGGGATAATTTCCAAAACTTTTGTTCATAGTTTTGAAGCGGTTTTAAGAAAAATCTTTGATGATATAATCATATAAGTAATCATATTACAAAGTACAAACTTTTACAACTTTTAATAGTTATTTTTTAATCGAACTAAAATATTTTGTTACAGTCAAACGCATATGTAATCTTTCGAACATTTACAGACAAAATATAACCTCAAACTATTTTTTTTTTTAAATTAATGTTTGGTTTGAAGCAGGCCCGGTTCTATACATGTGTCTTTGGTGCTCATGCACAGGGTCCTTATAATTTTGTGTCTTTTATCATAATTAAATTTATTAAAATTAAGGTCCAAAATTTTTTTTTTTTTAAAAAGCATGAGAAATAAAGGCTAATTTTTTTTTTCAGTTCAAAGTCCTTAAATTTTTTGAGCCGGCCCTGGTTTGGAGACTAACAAACGCTGAGATTTACCAATATATTTAGTAACATCCAAACAAAGCCACCTCTTATTTAATAAGTTTATATTATGTACATCGGAAAAGAAACAGTACGTGTTGTATAATATAGACAACAAATGGTAGATTCAATAAACCAATGGCTCGTGATTTATTAAATAACAGCCACCTGCTGATTCGTCCCATTATGCTTTCCCTTCAACAACTTCCTAAACCACTTAGCTGATTTCTTCAGATACCTCTTACGTCCATCTTCAAAGTCCACAAACACTAGTCCGAACCGGACCGTGTATCCCTCCGACCATTCGAAATTATCCATCAATGACCACGCGAAATATCCCTTCACATTCACCCCGATCCTACATTTTATGCAAGATCTGGTTTTCAAAAACTTTCTTTTAAGCCTCTGTTGGCGTCTCAAAAACATACATTATAGGAGTGGCCAATCTAATTCTTGCTTCGAATGTTTTGGTTTCTGAATTGTAGAAATTCAAATATAAAAGATTGAAAAGGAGGACTTACGAGATAGCATCGCTAACCATCTTAAGGTGATGAGCATAGTAATCAATTCTCAAATCGTCGTTAAGAAATACTTTGCCAATGTTTGCTTCATCCACTCCTGATTTTAAGAAAGACGCGAAATAACATGATTAGTTCTCTGAACTAGTCTTTTTTCTAAAAATCCATTAAGTGCTATGATTTACCATTTTCTGTTATGTACAAGACGGGATCATTGTATCTGAATTTTGCATGTAATAGGAGATCACGAATACCCTTGGGATAAATCAAAAGCCAATCCGATCCAGCCTGAAATGAATCATAAGGTTATATAATCAAATTCTATATCGATTTTACATTTTTAAATAAGTGTAATAGTCAAATTGAAAGCTAAAAATATATAGTTACAACTTATATAGATTTTTGAATTATTAATTTAAACTATCATGAATTTTTTTTTATTTGATCGGGAGATTGATCTAATTCTTAACTAAACAAAGCTGAATAGAATAAATAATCGTACCGTTGGACCGATAGGCACTCCATTTCGCTCACCTAATACAATTTACAAATTAACAATTAATTAGTTGACGGATGTTAAATTTCAATATTATTTAGAGAAAAAGGTCAATTTATAGGTTAAGAAAAAACCATAAGGTTCACGGACCTACGATGCTGACGCAAGAATCGGTGGACATGGTGATGTTTTCAGTTGCGCACGGAGCGTCTTTTGCATAAAAAGATGAGTAATAGTTTATACCTATGAAATCGTATGATCCTTTGAGCATTTCGGACTCTTCTGGCGTGAATGTAGGAAGACGACCATCTTTTACGTGGCTGACCATTTCGATTGGATATCTACCGTAGACGATTGGCTCCAAGAAGTAGTCAAAGGTGAAGGCCGTGGCTCGAGCAGCAGCTAACCGGTCAGCATATGACTCTGAATAAGGGTAGTGCCATACTGTGTTTAAGGCGATACCAATTTCACCATTTTGAGTTGCCTGTGGACATCATATATTAGGAGCGAAATGTTGTCACGATTTAACTTTTATGAGGATTTGATAACCAGATAGAGCATAGCAGAAATATAGTAGAGCGAAACAGAGTAAAACAGAGTAGAAGGTAAACAGAGAAGAAAAGAAACAGAGTGAAAACAGAGCAAAACAGAGTATGACTCAAAAGGACAATGTGTATTTGCGTTTAGGTGTTCAAGTTATAACCACAAATAATGAAAACTCAGATTTGTAAAATCTAAAAAAATCTTTCATTACTTTTATAAATAATTTTAGCAAATGTAAACCCAAAAAGGAATTTTGAATTTTGTTAGGATGATAGATACTGTGAGATCATTTGGAAAAAGTACACATCAAAGTTAAAATCAAACACAAACAAACAATTAAAGTCTAGATAATAGATAGAACAAACATACCTGGTACTTTTCCCTGTAGACTTTGACGGCAACTCCATGAGCAAGGAGGAGGTTATGGCCGACGATGTAAGGCTCGGTGGCTGCATCGCCACCTAAGCAATCAGGATTAGTGAAATTGGAACATCTTCCAGGTGCCTTTTGACCTGTTATATAACCTTCATGTACTACTGTAAATGGCTCGTTTAGTGTTGTCCACTGCTTCACTCTATCTCCAAACTTCTGGAAACAAAGTTCTGCATAGTCTCGGAAATCATTCCTGTTTCATTACCAAAATATCAACAACAAATTTTTGCAGTGTCCTAAGCTTACCATATAGTGATCTTAAATGAATGAACTTACACAATTTCATCTCCAAGGAAGCCACCGTAAGCATCTTCGAGTGCCTCTGGTAAGTCCCAGTGAAAGAGTGTGACAAATGGCTTCACCCCTAACACATTTACAACATTACAAGAAAAACATTAAATGTTGTGTTCTTGACGAATCTTGAAAATTTACAAAGGTTTTGGCAATATCCTAAACATCACCAAGATTTCCTCAATGTGTGTTTACAAGCACAAGTCTTTTAGTTTTACCAGACTGAGAAACAGAGAATCATTACCTTTAGACAGAAGTTGATTAATCAAGTTGTTGTAATAGTCAATTCCAGCCTGGTTGATTCCTCCCTTTATAGTCCCACCTAATAAACAAATTGAGAACAGTTACCTCATGAATATAACAAGTTAACAACTCTTAGAAAGATCTAATCCGGTCGTTATCTTACGAGGCAAAATCCGGGACCATGAGATCGAGAATCGGTAAGCATCAAAGCCTATTTGATGCAGCAAATTCACATCTTCCTGGTTTTCCAAAAAGTTTACATGAAGAAAAATGTAATGCTGCCTTTATTTTATTTTTGGGTGAAGAAAGCAATAATACCTTGTAGAGGTTGTAAGAATCATCTGCAATGGACCCATTACTACCATCCATTATCTTTTCTGAAAAAAAAAAAGGGGCAAAATTATTTATCATTAAATTTAATATCAAGAAAAAGAAAGAAGTATCAAAAAGGTTCATCACCAACCCAGTTTTGTTATGAACACAAGATAAAACCAGATTCACATATATAAACCAAATTCCAACATTTTGAGTCTTAAATCTTTAAAGAGGTCTAAAGCTTTGGGGGTTTCTAATAAGGAAAAAAAAACCTGGGAAATTTTCAGAGAAAGAGTCCCAGATACTTGGACCTCTACCATCTTCATGAGCAGCACCTTCACACTGTTAACAAAATCTAAAAATGTTAACAAAAGCAAAAAATTAATGGACAGAATAATAAGAACTAAACCTGATAAGCAGAAGTTGCAGATCCAAAAATGAAATCTTCTGGAAAGTCATTTCTTCTCAATCTAGGCCTTGAGGAATGCTTCTTGGCGGAAACTCCAATGCAGGCCAAAGTAATGAGCAACAGTAAACTTAGAAATTTACTTCTCATTCTTTTTTTTTTCTTCTGTAAAAAACTAATTCAATTTTTATTTTTGATTTACAATGAAATTTGGTTGTGAAAAACTTTATAGGAGAAAAGGAATATGTTTTGATTTGATATAATGTAATCTATAAATAGAGTTAGTTGTTGGAGGGAGAGAGGGTGTAGCACCTAGCAACGTTATTTTAGTAGTAATGGTTTCTTATTTTATACGATTTGCTAATTGTTGCAAGAAACCTTATCCTATAAAATTATTGTAAAAAACAAAAAAAAAACAAAAATACTCTTAATTAATCAAAAGCTGACTCATCATCACATCTAGAAAAATATTCGAAAGCTAAGACGTGAGAACTGAGAAAACATATTTTCTTCTGACCATAAAATAAAAACGATGAAAATGTCAAAATTTGTAGAAATTTTAACACATTTGTGCATTTTGTTGAATTTTCTATGCTTTGATTTTGGTTTAGTCTCTTAATTTGAAATATATTCTATTTCGTATATAAATTCGCTTTGTTAAGCTATGAGACATGATTATGGTGTAAACGACTCTTTGTCTCAAAACTTATGAAACTCTCTGTTACAGGATGTGGACTATTCCATAGGGGTTTTCTTGAGTGAAACGGGTGGGCACGATTATTTTGGTCAACGTCAAAACTAGATAAATAAACCCCACGCGGAAATTTTTTTAAATTAAACCTATTATCCATTTCTGGAATGACCTAGGTGTTCTTTAAAAATCAAAATGTCGAAATGGGCCATGAAATATATGGGCCCTTATAACATTTCTTGAATGGCTTCGTTAACAGGCGCAGGCGCGATATATTTCTGTACACTGAAGCCCATTTAAATTTTATAAATTGTTTAATCCTTGTAACGAAAAAAGTCAAAAACAAAAAATACATAGTAGTAGCTATGGGAGACCACAAATGGATGAAACTTTAACGCCGCAAAGCACTCTTAAGCCCTCTTTATTGAAGATACTTTGCTTTGCTTCAAAGCTTTTTGACAAATCAAATTAAAAAAAAAAACAAAATCTAGAAAAATAGTTCGAGGGCTTTAGAAGATTCAGACATCTTAGGAATAAAACAAGAAGCTGCTGAACCAGTTGCTAATAAAAATCTCTTTTTGTTCATTGTTGACTTCAACACGTACTCTTCTTCTGAATCTTCAATTTCTTCTTCTCTCTTCAAGAACTCTTTGAACCACATCGCTGACATTTTCGGGAATCGTTTTAGCCCGTTGTTGTAATCGACGTAGAATAGTCCGTATCGGACTCCATAACCGGCGTTCCATTCACAATTGTCTAGTAACGACCAAGCAAAGTATCCTTCAACTACAACGCCATCCTCCCTGAGCAACAAAACAATGATCATCCATCGTCAGTAAGAAACTAAGTATAGGGTTTCAACACAGTTTAGTTTCCTGTCTCACAAGAAACTTAATGGAGATACACTTACTGGATGGCTTGTTGGATGCTTTGGAGATGTTTCTTGTGGTACTCTGTCCTTTGGAGATCCATCAAGTTAGAAAGTTTCGGCTTTTTCTCGTAATCTATATCACAGTGTCCTGAACAGTTTTAACAAAGCAAGAGTTAGTAAACTATAATCCCATATAAAATTGAGTAAGACTAATTAAAGAGCTTCTTATAAAATTATTACCGTTTTCAGTGATCATAAATTTCGGGCTTTCATATTTATTCTTGCCATAGTTAAGAAACTTTCTAAGTCCTTGTGGATATAGAAAGTCCCATTCTGAACCACCTCTTACACCTAATGTCTGTCCTGCTTTGTTTTGTTCTGTACAAATAAAAATTGAAAACTTGTGAGACAAGAAACAGGTAACAAAAAGCTTGGAGCCAAGAAATGAATGGAAACGCTACTATGATATGAGTAAGTATTATATAAAAACTCCACTTACTTCTCCATTCGATGCGTGCGTCTGATCTCCAATTGGGAGTGTCATGGTTCACTTCATCAATATTTTTGACGTAGAAAGCACTGTAATAATTCACCCCAACGAAATCAAAAGATCCTATAAGCTTCTTGGATTGTGCTGCGGTAAATGATGGTAATCTTTTTCCGATCGATTTTTTCATGACTTCAGGGTAATCTCCATACACCGTAGGATCCATGTGCCTGTTAATTAAAAAAAAAAAAAAACACCCAAACAAAAATAGTTAGAAACTCAGCAAAACATATGTAATTTAATTTTGATGTAACCTTTAAGAAAATAAAACCACTCACCAGCCAAACATAAACTCCATAGCTCGTTCGCATGCTTCTTTATCTTTAGGGCAGTTCGAGTCATAAGGTTCGAACCATACGGGACAATGAGCGATACCGATCTTGCCATCTTTACACTGTAATACAAACAAAAAACGGCGTATGTCTTAATAATTATGTTTTTAAAGATGAAAATACTTGTCAAACTGAAATTAATTATCTTTTCCGTACTTTGGGATTGTTCCTGAAGACTTCAACGGCTTCGGCGTGAGCCAGAAGTAGATTGTGACTAACAGTGTAAACCTCGAGACCAGATTCTCCGGCCACGGCTGCTTCGTTCATGTATTTGGAGGCACGTCCGGGGGCTTTTCTTCCCGTGTCATAACCACCAATACTATACACCCATGGTTCGTTTAGTGTGACCCACAATTTTACACGGTCGCCAAACTCTTCGAAACATAAGGCTGCAAAATCTTTGAAGTCATCACTGCAAGATGGTAAATTTATATGCAGATGTTAGGGACATTTATCCGAAAATTAGTCAAAAACTAATATATATTGATTGTTAAAAATCACTTACACAGCTTCTTCGCTTAAAAATCCATTGTATTCATCCTCAAGTGCTTGAGGAGTATCCCAATGAAATAAAGTGGCGAGAGGTGTTATTCCTGTTCATATATATGATACTGCATATTAGAATATGTCAATCGAAGAGATTAGGTTATATATGTAAGTGAAAATAGTTAACTACCGTTAGCGAGGAGTTCATCGATGAGATCGTTATAGAATTTGATTCCTTCTTTGTTCACTCCTTTGCTTTTCTTTCCAACTATATTTTTGGGAATATGAACAAAAGACAAAGATTAAAAATCTATTGAATTTTTTGAAGCTCACTCATCAATATGTTGAATTAAGAAAATTAGTGGTATATATTTATGAGTTAATAACTTACGAGGAAAAATCCGAGGCCAAGAGATAGAGAATCTGAAAGCATCCATGTTAATATCCTTCATTCTTTGGATATCTTCTTTGTAATGCTTATAGAACTCGATTGCTTGATCTGCGTTAGAGTAGCAATTTCTCTCTACAAAAAAAAATCATTTCACTAAAGTTAGTTTGATGAATATCATAACTGAATAACAATATGAAAATATATAAACATAAATATTACAAAAAGTAAGTTTTTAGTTATATACAAACCTGGATATTTGCGAACAAATGTGTCCCAAACACTCTCTCCTCGAGGAGCTTCGTTTATGGCTCCTTCATATTGGTAAGCCGATGAAGCCGTACCAAAGAGGAAACCCTCAGGAAAATCAGATCGGCCGAAAGAGTTTTTCTTCGAGTACATGTTCTTCCTTCTGTTAATATTAATTAACACACAAAACTGTCAGAAAATATTTTCTCTAAAGGTAAAATTTTTGTGGATGTGTTGTTTTATTGTAGTTTCATCACTTACTGCGTCATTGTTATAAAGAATTTATAAGTTCTTTTATATTTTGGTGAACCCCTCTAAATCTGCATAAACATGTAAACAAGAATATAAGAGCCAGTTGATCAAAAGAGAAATTATAGAATCATTCTAACCATAACTTTGATACATAAGAGAAGAAAATGTACCAATTTGAAGTCTTTTGTGATTAATATCGAATTAAGCTGATTAGGTTTTCAAATATGAATTTTAACAGCAAAAAAAAACAGTTTTCAAATACGAAAGAATGAAACGAAATATTTTGCTTTCTCTTCTTGCAAAATAAATAAACGAATAAATCTAATCTTCTTTCTCAATGAAAGAATGTGGAGATTGTTGAGTTGTGAGAGAAGTGATGAGATATGGGAAGGTATATATATATATATATATATATATATATATTAGGCAAAGGAAATTTATTATGCGAAGGAACGTAGAAAATTCATACAACATTTAGTCCAATTGGTTACATCTACGTATCCTGACCGTTAATTTCTTTTTTGGTCAAAGAATCAATCAATCGCTTGACACAATATAAAAAAAATGAAATAAAATAATAATAGTAGTCGCTTTGTGGTCTTCCGCTGTGTGATGTTGAACCAACTAGCTTGCTCCTATGTTGACTTCTACTAAAATCAAAACAGAGACTTAATATCATTATTTAATACACTGCCGGCGAGATCCTTCTGCTGGAGTGTTTTGTATTTTCTTTTGAGTGATTGATTTTAATCTCGAGTTTTGACCCAATCTAGCTAGTCCACATAAGTATGATAATTCGAAAGAAAAAAGTTTTGTTTACTTTTTGAAATAATATATTGTAATATGGATTAATTTGTGGTTTCATTATGATTTAAACTATAAATTTCAAACAAATAAACTTTTGATTTAATTTGTAGAACTTTCAGACTCTTCATACTGATTAGAGATAAATTATTTAAATTCATACAAGAATGCCAATTTTAATTCCAAACAAAAATACTGTGATTTGCCATCCGATGTTTTTTCTGAAGTTACAATTTTCATTTAATATTTTTTGACAGAAACCATTCATTTTCATGTTAACTTTAGAAACAAATTAATATACATACTAAATCATTTTGTTTAGCATTACCATATCTGAGCTACGTCCAATACTGAAAGAAGTAAAAAACCAGATATTACAAAGTAACCCTAGTTAACATTCGAAATTAAGCTATGCAAATAATTAATGGTGGTAAATAATTTATTTTATTAAGTGTTATTGTTTTTTTCTAATACATTTTTTGTTTTGTCCCATTATTATTTGGGGAAAATATACAATAGTTGAAACGCAATCTCTCTTTCTCATTCGGTTAAAGACAAGTTGCGTGACCTGTCTACGTATATAGCAACAACGGTTCTAGCTGTATCGATGTATCATGCTTGTGAACATCAGAACATGTGATCTTTATCAAAAGCACTGATGTTAAGAAATTTACTGTTAACTTAAACTGATTCTCTAGAGTATTCTGTCAAAAAGGTAGCAAAGACTTGGACTTTTACAGTCAATATACCGACTTATTGATATAATTATGATTAATATAAACCCCTTCACAAAAAATAAAAATCATTTCACCGTCTCTCTAGTGAATCGTGTGAGTCGTTACGAGGACTTTCATCACATGTCATAATTCCCAAAAGTTCAAACGCACGTACGTTAAAATTGGAAAAGTATACTATGCACTCATCTTCCGTTTCAAATTTGCCCATACCTTTTTATTATACATATATATATTCCTAAGATTAGTTATTTACCTCCCAAAAAACTCAAGTTGTTCTATTATCAAAAAACAAAAAACTCCTGTTGTTCTCGTAATGTCATTGCTTAAGACTGCGTGGTAGGTCAAATCAACGGTCGTATAAAAAAGCGAGCTGTATAAATAGTATATTGTATAAAAGGAAACAAATAACTCATTGATTGTTGTTCTAATTGGTAGGTAGAATTCATCAATTAGAGAAAACGTTAAATAATGGAGTTTGGAGCATATATACATCGAGTTATTATTAGAAAATTGACAGGTTATAATAAATTTAAAGTAAATTACGAAGAAATTCAGAAATTTCTAGTGATAAATATTAGGCGGGTTTTTGACAAAAAAAACAAATATTGGGCGGTTCATTAGCGAGATAATTTGAAAGATATATTTTATAAAACAAAATATGAACATGCCATTTTAGATTTATCATTTTTATTTAATATAAATAACGAGTACACATCATATAACAAAAGAAAATGTGATATGAGAGCATTGATTAGATCATTTATTCGTAATAATGTCATACTAATTACTAAGCATCTCACCTTTTCTTTCTTGGCAGTCTAACGTTGGAGACATCAGGGTAACGTTTCACGATACGCGCAGACCAGAAGAGTCTAAAGCACTTATTGAAACAAAGGTTTGTCACCAAGTAACAACAGATGATGGACGATTAGATTGTTAATTTCGTAAATCAATATATTACAATACTCATTTTGTTTTTTTATTAATATATTTTAAGATATTCACACAAATTAGCAAAACATATTAAAAGGTAATTATAAATATATTATTTTTTGTAATTTATAATTTTCTATAATTCTGAATTAATAGGATTTTTTTTTTGAAGTTTACAATTCATCAATAATTAATAAATTTTTTAAAATATTTAATTTTCTGAAACAAATATTTATCCAAAAAATATAATAATAAGGATCAGAGGAAATATTGCAATACGAGTTTTATTTTTTATTTTTTAGAAAGTACATAATAAATAGCACATCATAAGATGAATGGGAAAAGAAAAAGCCGACAAAAAATTGGAAAACTCGAAGCATTCAAGGAAAGTAATGCTTAGTTGTGGAGCAACTTTGAACACTGCCCACCATCACAAACTGTCTTCTTCCAAAACATAGGCAGATGTTGCGTTATTTCGTGAGATGCCCAATAAAATGGGATAATTCACGAAATTCCCCAAAACTTTAGGACTTTACCGTATAACAATAATGATTATACATATTATAACATTTATTTAACATGCAATCTTTTTGGACCGCCCACTAGTATGGAAGCCAACTTGGCTCGTGTAATATTTTCCACGTTTCGATTTTTGTGGTGGAGGATATTTTCAAACATTTTTTCGAGTTCTGAAAACAAGCAAGTATTTTTTTTTTTTTAATTACTAAAAAGTGTTGGGCCGAAACATCCAGAGTTGTCTCAAAATTATAATAGGTTTTGTGTCTAAACTTAAATTTTTTTAAATACTTATTAGATAAAAATTCAAAAATATAGATTTGTTTCTGGAATTTTAGAAATTTAGGATTTTTTATCTAAATTTTTTTAATTTTTTTAAAAGATATAGTACAAAAGTACCGCGAGCAGTCTTAGACATGTGTACATCCCCTTAAGCCATATACCAGAACATTTGATATATGATTATTTTTTAAGTGTTATTTGAGCCGACAACTTCTAGACTTTTTCTGAGAGTTTACTAATTGAGCTATTGATATTTGGTTAAAACAAATAAGTATTGGACTTTGATAATTAAGTTATGATTTTCATACTCGTTTATATGGAAACGTTACCAACCTAAGTAGTAAGGAATGCAATCGGGTATGCATGAAGCCATGAACAATACTGATTAAATCGTTTTTAAGAAGCACAAGCTTTAAACCAGTCATTTGCTTCATCGAGTATATATCTAACTCATCGATATGGTTAACTTATAAGAGACATGACTAGATTAAAAGAACACAACCAGGGTGCCTCATTAAATTTAGAATCTCTGTACAAATTTTTAAAAATTTAGTTTTTTGTATTTTACCAAAATTTTTTTTTCTTTTTGTTCATATTAATTTTTTTATGGGTTTTAAAAAGGCTTTTTTTTTTTAACAAACATATCTAAAAGAAAATAAAAATTTGGTCCTCAAATTTAGTGAAATTTGTTTACCTCTTTCATTTGCTCCACTTGCACTACCCAAGAAACATCCCTGGACGGCACATGTTAGATTTATGTGCTTGTGTTGAACTAAGAAAACAGATCTCCTCTAGTGAAGTTGGAGATTTTGAAGTAGTTACAAGTCATAGTCAAGTTGGTATCATGTACCCTCCCTCCAACCAGCCCCGGCCCAATACATTTGAGAATTTTTTTTTTTTTTGCGAGAAAATTTACTTATTTTTTAATAGTAAAAATTGTTATTTTAAAAATTGTGTGCCTTTTTATACATTTTCTTATAAAGAATTAGGCCTTTTAAAATATAATTTTCATATTAATAATATTTTTAAAAAATATTTGGGCCTTTTTTACATATAATTATTTTTAATAAAAAAAGTCCCGGACCATCGCATATCCGCCTGCCCTTCTAAGCTGGTGCTGCCTCCAACTCCGTTTAATTTTGTTATTGTCTTTGGATAACCATGAAGTACCGGATTAAACTGGAGTTAGATGTTTCTTGACTGATTCAGCTTTTATTTTCAGTCTACGGAAAAATCTTTGATTTGTTTTTGTTATTTTGAATTGGCCACCAGCATCAGAATTTGTATTCACTGAGTAATTTAAAATTCAAATAAAAGATATATCAGCAACATTAATTATCTTTTCTCAATTGTCTAAAATTGTTTAAAATTTTGATTGCGGTTTGGTTTGGTTGGGTTGTCGATTAACCTCTGAATTTCTAGATTTTCTAAATCTATTAATTGGCTATTTAAGAAAATTTTAATGATGGGTTTGGTGAAATTGAGGTGGTTATTAGTCATGGAGTATATCTTTCAAGGACCACAAAAATCCCAATCCATGATCATACTTTTATAACCCCAATCTCCGGTTTAGTCGGTTTTGTCCATTACGATGATGTTAAAATAAATTAGGAAAAATAATTATTTTTGTCAAAAAAAAGTATATAAATAGAGAAGAGAGAAAAATCAAAAATCAAAAAGCGCCATGTAAATATACAATCACTTCCAACGTACTCTCAAAGGTCACAGCACAAACAACAATCAGAGCAACAATGGAGACTGCTAAATCAAATCCCGATGGCTACCAAAATATCTTGATGATCCGTCACGGCGATCGCATTGACAAAATCGATCCTCTCTGCTCTTATCCCCTTTTATCCGATGTATCCAGACTGCTTCCGAAGTCATCGCTGCTCTCTCCGCCGTCGATTTCGATCCCAGCGCTACGTCGTCTAACGACGTCACGTCCATCGATAAATCTAAGCTCAAGGTCAGATAATCCCTCGTCGATTTTACAGATACTATCTTAGGTTTTTAAATCTTTTGGTCTTCATGGAATCTGTGAATGTGAATCTCTGTTGATTCAAATTTACTTTAAGAATCACTGTTG